TTTTGATGCAAAAACGCATGATCGCACCGGCTCGCCTGGTGCGTTCCAGCCTTTGTTTTAATTTGTTTATTCAACGATGAATTGGTACTGACAAAAGCGAGGGAGCCAAATCCGCCATCAACTTGCTTGTAAGCAACCGTCGGAAGAGAGATTTGCCAACAGTTCTACTACGGTAGGTTTTTGAAATTTGCTGTTACTCGGGTTTCTGTTTGAGTATCTGCGCCTCTCACAAGAAAAAGAAAATGCGAAGGGTGTTTTGATTAAGCAAATGCACAGCAAGTGATAGTTTATCTTTATATCCTTGCTGTAAAACGGTAATAAAGAAGCAGTGCGAAATGCACAAAAAAAATGCATTAAACAAGAAAGCAGGAAAAACGCTAATGCATTGCTCTTTTTGAGGAAAAAACAAGGATTTATCGTGGACTTATTGAAAGAATAAAAAGGCGCACGTTATGGCTTCCAGTAATGCTGCTTATGAGTTAGTTGGCTGATCGTGACTCTGAAAAACGGAAATTTCTTTTGTTTTAACTGTTGATGAAGAGGCAAAATTTTGTTTGTTCAATTTACCAAAGCAGTGCAAAACTAAACAGATGGAACTCTTCGTTTATTTGTGCATTCAGCCACAGCTGGAAAGTTCATTTATATCGGGAACGTGTGTTATTTGCCGTTGTAACAGAAAAATTTGCCACCAATTCTCGATTGTTTTTCGTGCGTTTTGTGCTGTGTGACAGCAATACAAAACGCATATTGTCACGAACTTGTCTGTGTGTGTGTCCGCAGCAACTTGTCCGCAATTTTCAACTCGAAACTACAAAAGCTAGGAAGCTGAAATTTTAGGGTAATGACTCACTGCTCACGCTTAACCTTGCTTATTCAAATTCAGTGCTCTCGCGCTCCCGGGCATCACCTACAGCCCCGTTTTGGTGAGTAAATTATTATCTCGGGAACCGCGGAATGTATGAAGCTGTAATGACCCCCTGCCCGCGCTCGACCTTGCCTGTTCAAATTCAGCGTTTCCGCGCTCTCGAGCAACACCTACGGCCCCGTGAAGATTTTGGCGGGGGGATTATTATCTCGGGAACCATAAAAGCCAGGAAGCTGAAATTTTGTGGCAATGTCCTCCATCCACATACAGTCCTGTAATTTTAAATTCAGCTCCTCGCGCGTCCGAGTATCACTTACGGTCCGTGGAAGTTTCGGCAGGGAAAAACATTATCTCGGAGACCGTGGAAGTTGAGAATCTGAAATTTTATGATGATCTTCTCTACAAACGTACGACCTCGCAAATTTGGACTCAGCCTTCGCGCACCCCTGGATGCCACGTACAGCCCCGTGAAAGTGTTGGCAGAGAAGTTATTGTCTCGTGTGCGTGAAATTTCTAGAGGAAAATTGTGCAGCTTAAGAACCAGACAACATTTCAACTATTTCTGCACAGACCAAAGTGCAAAGCTGTGAAAATTATTAGCAGGCAATCGTTCTGTGAACGGAATTGCACAAAACGCATGATCGCACCGGTGCGCGGCGCTATTTATTATAGCTTTGTGCTGCACTAGGCTGAGTTCAGATACAATGAAAAAATGGCTTAAATTCATGCACATGACTGTTTCATCTCGATGTCGATGCAGTTGGCAATTTTTCCATTCTTCCCTCTTTTCGGTCGATGTAACTGATGCAGCAGATCCTTCCGCTGTAACAACGCTTCCCCAGAATTGTTTTAACTGTGCTTTGATGGCATTTAATAATTCGTTTTGCCCATCTCGTGCGTTCTCGTCAAATGGCCTCCTGCCCCACTGCCTTGCTAATATCGCTCACATTAAACTGAAACCATGGTACTTCACAGGCGAAGTGCTGCGAAACGAAGTAAATTTGCACATAAACTTCGTTATAATGAGTTTTGTAAGATGTAATGCCTTGTGCAAAATTTGCGATATCATTTAAAATTTGTGTGTAATATTTAGGAACAAACGCGCACACTGTGCTGTTTTATTGATACTCACGTGGAA